TTTGTCTTGCTTTCATCTATGTCTTTTTTTATTGATGTAAAGCCAATCTTTMATTATATCATCTGATTTAGAATGTTACAAAATTACTGAGTAAAAGGCACAACAGCATTACCAGAATTTGTTGTTAAATGTATCCTTTAGTTTATTGATTATGCCAAGAAGTGTTGAGGAATACCAAAAAAAAAAAAAAGAAAGAAATCAATCAGACTTTTATCATAAATTCTTTAAATAGATAAACAAGAACAAAGCGTGTAAGAAATACTATCTCATCTAAATCTAGGGGAAATAGATCATCACACAAATTTCTTTTTGTAAAAAGAGAATTGGGAAACCACATTTGGGATACTGTTTACATTTCTTGTTGTGTTGCAGGAAAGTATAATAAAAGAGGGACAGATATAAAAAAAGGAGATTCTTTAAAATAACTGGGTTAATTAAGATAATCTAGAACTACATTCTAAAGAAAGAAGACTGTGGGTTGGGGTGACAGGGAAATTAGAAGAAGCACAATAGTTTACATGTTGTCTTGTACTTCATCAAGGGAAAACGCGACCTCAAATGAGAAGGCAACTACAGAATAAAAATACTAGGCTGAATACATCACCCTGTTGATCTTATGTCCTTTTTATTGTCCGTTCAACTTTCTTTCACCTGCATGTGACTGCCGAGAAACCAAGAGTTAAACTTTCTAGACTATTTTCTGGAAGAGAAAAAAATATGGTGACACTAAACCAGCAGAAAAGGCTGATAGCAGAGGCAATAACCGAGTTTTGTATAGATAAAGGGATAGAATATGAATGACAGTGAAGATATTATGCATTTCCATTGAGACTAGGGAAGGTCAAATCTAAAAAAGGTCACCCTATGGGCTTAGAAACACAAGAATGATTTTTTTCAATGGTATAATGTTTCAAAATTATAGACAYTCGGCTAGGCAAGATTTTCTTACAATGGTATAGGATCAGTACTACTCTGAAAAAGGGATAGCCTTTCAATGACCTTTTCTGGACCATGATTAAAATTCAGTTTACCAATTTCCTCATTATCTCTTAAGATATGCGTAAAATAATGATTCTACCCTAATCTGACTTGGCTATTTTAGCGTGAGAATTTCTGTTTTAAAGTCCTCTCTGCCCACAGTATTTCATTTTATGATGCAAAAAAGTCAAAGGAGATAGATGATCTTGATAGTCTCCTATGCAACAGAGATGCTCACTTCATTTAAATGGAAATGTGCATTTTCATGGAAATTCAGGCCTGCATTGATGAACAAAGATAAGCTGCCACTTTTAAATAGAATAGTGATATGGGGTGGGGGGAGTCCTAGCAAACTCATAAAAAAACAGTGAAACTTACAGTGAAAGATAGGCAATATTAAAAGTATATATATTTATCTGTATATATTTTCATACTGATAAATTAAGTTCTCTAAGGTTTAGTTGCACAGTATTTGGACTGYTACGAAGTTGAAAATTCCCAGGATAAAGGTTAGAGAAGACAGGCTGAATATATATGTGTCTGATGAGCCCAGTGACTTCATATGACAAAGCTAATTAGCACCTTGTCTTTTATAAGTATTATCCTTCTCATAAACATTGTTCAGTGACTGTGTCCTGAAATCTCATGGGTCAAATGTAATATCATTTCCCATGCTCTTTTCTTTCTGAAAATATTAATGTGTTATTTTTACATTCTTCTTTTTTTATATAACTCATTTAGGAAATACCAATGATTGTATATTGTGTCTCCCAACTAGAAACATGGAAAGAATACATAACGGTTTCTTTGCCCAAAAAAAAACATGCAGATCTGGTAGATTTTTCTTAGACAATGAATTGTGTGACTTGACTGACTCCTCTCCATTCCCACTCTCAGTCCTCTAATCCTGTTTGAGTAGCTTTCTCCTAACTGCTGTCAGGACCTGAGGACTGGCCTCTTCTATCTCTCCCACCCAACACACTTCTAGCCAGCATCTACGATGCCACATAAATCATTTAATTTACATTTGCAAAAACTACCTAATGCACCCAGATGATGTGGAAATGGAATCTAGGAAGAAACAATCAGTAACGGTGGGAAAAAAATAGAGGACAGAAGACAACCTAAGGAAAATATTTAAAGTTAGGGAAATGTGCCATGGATGTTACAAAACTGTTAGTTTTTCTACAAGTTAAGTGGTTTGGGGACTCAGAAAATCATACCCTGAAATATGGCACATTGGCATGCCATGCTGAAAGACATTGCAAGGGCTTTTCAGAATGGTTCTCCCTGATTTTCTCCTGCTTTCCTGCCCTTCTTTTTCCCTGAAGCAATTCATAGGAACAAGAATTCCTCTTCCCCAAAATGAGTTAGGCAAACTAGATTTATTACTCTAACCTTTTCCCACCTTTCTGTGCAGTAGCTGTTGCACAGAAATTCTCTAACCTACCTGACAGATCATAAGACCCTCATTCCAGAGGGTTCCTGCCCCCTACTGGGGGGGAAGGAATGCCATAGAAGAGCCAAGAGGAATCTGAATAGAGAAGCCTTGCTGGGCTTCCCTCTTTAGTCTATTATAATTATAATAGCCTTCCTCCAAACACATTTCTACATGGATATCCATGTTTCCTCTATCCTAAGTGTACAAATAGCTGTGGCCCTTATGATGAGTGAGGAAAAGCATCACACATTTTGCATCCCTACACGAAGAATGCTTCCTACACACAGCCACTGCGGGAAATGTCCTGGCATCCACCAGAGTTTCCACATGCAGAGGTTTGGACAGACACACTAATGGAATTACCTAGTACTAGGTAGTAGCACAAAGACGAACCCTAGGTTACAACAGCTTTGCCTTATAGAGTGCTTTTATTTCCATGATTTTTCAAAGATAGACAGTAAAAGGACTCTTAGTATATTGTTTGAAAGTTGAAATAGTCAAAGATGAATAAAAATTTTAAAAAGAGACACTAACACTCAGGCCTGACTACATAGTTTCAATATTCTGTCTTTGCCAAATGAGTGATGTCCCATATAACTCAAGATCAGGAAATGCYGGTAAATATAATACTAAGATAGTCCCTTTAGTAGTTTTTTTTTTGTAGAATCTGTTTTACCTTTTTTTGTGGGGGGTATTTATATTTTGATTAGGAGAAAAACCCCAAAACTGAAGAAACGTTTAATTTCTTTATATCATTTTTACTTCAATAACTGATTTTTTCCTTTCAACATTATGATTTCAGACACTGATTTTTAATTTATTGACAAAGTGTTACAATAGAAAATGCTTCTACTATAACTATATGAGTACTGAACCATGTGGATGAAAGGCCATGTCACTTTTTCCAAGGGGTCAGAAGAAGAAAGTCAAATATAGTGTACAATGGAAACTATTCACTCTCCTTTCCATTCTACTGTCTAAATAAAACAACCTCCCCAAACAAAATGAATTTAATGCAGTCACTCTTTGCAATTATGCCTACTGGTGCTCTTTGTTCAGCCGAAGTAAATGGAGAAACTGGTTCTATTCTGAGTCTTTAATCTTTCTGATATGGCACCCTCTTTGGCAGAGAGCATACAGGACCCCTATGTCAGCACTCAGATGAACATCTATCTGGTCATGCAGGATATAAGGCTATCCACTTTTGCATACAGAATGCAACAACTCAAGGAGAACTCTCTCCCAAAGTCCTAGGAATTCTTGAGGTAGTGCTAGTACCTAAGAAATTAGGTTTCATTCATGAGCAGGTGATCTATGAGTTCAGAGGAACCCTGCAGTAAGTTTAATGCTCTGTTGTCAATATCTTAAAATTCTTAATGTTTCAACAAGAGACTCTGCATTTTCCCTTTGCACTGGATGCTGCAAATTATGTAACCTGACCTTCTGAGGGAGAAGGGCTTTAAAAGGGGAAAATTGCTTTCTTTTGGCCTTTGCAAAGACCTGAAAGCTGGTTGGAATGACCCCACTTGGGTATACTCTATTTTCTCCAAAGGATAACTCCTATTCAGGTTTTGAAAAAGTCTATACTCCCCTTCAAGATCCAGTCTCCCTTCTCTATTTTAGGAAGACATTCTGTGCATTCTACAACCTCTTCAGCTGCATCCATAGTTGCTTTGTCAGTGATTATATTTCCAAACTATCCAGTGTGTCTCCATTTGATTATATGTGCATTTGAACCATTGAGATGTGAATAGAGTGTTTCCAATTTCCAGGATACTGCCTCAAAGACAAAGATGAAGAGACTGAACTCTTTATCCTTCCTCTAAGGTGGAAGGTCTTTGACCATATTAGGGAAGGCAGAGGAAGGAGTAGAGGAACTGGGGTCCCTGCAAGACCTTCAGAACTAGAGCTCCTCTGCTAGCATTGACTACTCACTTTGGGTCAAGGACTTGAAAGAGGAGTCAGCCTTTATTCTTGAGAGCCTTTATTATTTAAGCTTAGCTCTGGCATAATCAAGGTACAACATAAATACTTGTGGGCTGATTTATACTTAATTTGCATTTACCTAGAACAGCTGAATAACTGTTCAGAGTATTGGAATAGTCTACATAGGAAGAATTATCAATTTACCTTAAAATGATATAAAACTATATTGAACCGAATTTTACCTTCAGTGATTCTCAGAACACTTCTGAGTCTTGAAGAGCCTCAAGGTCATCATTATGAATATTAATTACAGTGGGAGTCTAGAGATGTTGAGGCTTAAGTAAATCTATAATAACCTATGAYAAACTCCTGAAATTGCATTTTCAAAATAAATTCCGGAAGCACTCTAGTTTCACTGTAATTTATCTTCCTTATGAAAAAAGACTATAGGATGTTAAAAATAACTTTTGTGAGACTTCTTGCTGTTGGAAACTAAAAACGGACACTTATACTTTAAAGAAATAGCATAACGAATATAATTTTCCTCCTTAAAATTTTTAATGACCAAAATATTCAAATTTAAAATGTTATGTTGTTAATCAGTTACAAAGCCTTTAAGCCATCACATATTCAAAAGTATAGATTTTGTGTTTACCTGCCCCAATAACTCTTTCGATGCGAATTCTGGAAGGATCTATTTCTTTTGCAAATTCATGGACTGCTAGGGATGGGTCTTCATAGGTATCTGGATCAATGTAAGTTTTAACTCCTGGGAAACGCACTGCAACAAAAATAAAAGATTGATTTAGTTTAAGAATATTTTAGTAGTCATACATCTTGTGAATATGTAAAAGGAGGAGTCATGTACTGAAATAGTCAGTCTAGTCTTGTTACACGAATTCTTCTCTTTTCCTGATTCCCTTCTTCTCTTCCCTCCTTTAAAGCTTGGACTGCTTGCATTTATTTACCATACAGTGTAAATGAGTGGGTAGWTTCATAGAATCACTGATGGTTCCAAGAAAACACATCAGCTTACTCATCCACTAGAAGAAGACCCATACATTTCATACTTCTCTAGTCAGAGTGTGGGGAAATGAGGCATTACTCACCCYCAATAAGCTAGCACCATAGGATCCTTCAAAAACACTAGATTTTTGTGAACTTATAAACATTTATATGAAATAGCATAACAAAAATAAGTTTACTCCTGTACTGTGGTCTCTGTTTTCCAGAAACTCTGTCAATAGAACAGAATAGAAGTCAGTGACAGGAAGGGCCACTACTGATRCAAGCCTTTCCTGTGTACTCTGAGTTGCCTTCACAGCCAGACTGCTAWTGTCTTGCAAAGGACCAGCTAGCTTCTCTAACCTGGTGGGAAGGGTGGGCACCAAGCTCCCAGATCTTGTCACTGATGGTACAGCTGCTGCTGTGTCTCTGGTGGGGATGGAGTGTTCACAGCCCACCAGCAATTGGGATGAGGAGGGCTGGTTAGAAAACGTGAACACATGGCTGCCAGTTCATTTGTGAATGCCTGAAGTCACAGACTGCCTGTGAATACCCTTCTGTTTTGTCATTGATTTCTGTTTTCTGMTTTAGATTGCTTGCTCTTGGAGTACAGAACATTTCTTATGTATTTGTGTACCTTTCGATACCTTCTGTATGGTTCTCGAGGCAATAATCAAGTCTTTACTAAATAACAGGGATTAAAGGACCAAAGCTAAATTTGTGGTAGAGTGAATAGTACTCAGTTTTGTTACTACTTAGATTAAAAATCATATTAATCTAGAATTAAGTATTGTTTGGGGCTGCTTGGAAACATGCTTTTGCAAGAAAATCTCAAACAAAAGATAACAAAGTGAGTTTAGAAGAGGTGACTGAATGGCTGTTATTAGCAGTAATTTGCTTCATTTATTCTTCATGCTCATTGCCTTCATYTATTACCTCCTGTCTACTGTCTTAGTGCTTGATATTCACTCACAAAAATATTAGTATTTCTCAAATAGCACCAGAAAAGCACATTTTCAAGTACACTTAGACCCGACRCTGATTTGGAAATGCTATGCTTTTTATACTTCTCAAAGTTCAGATTGGAGGGAAGGAGAACAGAATCTCTACTTCCATTTCAAAGGCCATGGGATATTATTGTAACTTAGTAAGAATTGTGATTTATGATTGAGTTCTGTAAACTCAAATCTGGTAGCTACTATTAGATGATTAGCAGCATATAACTGGATATATGGACATGCTGAAAATACCGCTTTAAGCACGGAAAACAAGTCTTATTTACTAACTCACACATAGTTCTAATAATGAAACCATTCAATTATTTATGATGACACACATTTCTATAGAATAAACTGATTAGTTAATATTACTTTCTTTCTTGTAAATACAATGTATGTAATATAGGGGAAAAAATGACCAAGCTTAGTTTAGATTTTACATTATCTGGTTACTAACTGATTTATTACTTTTTCACATTTTTTATTGGTATARTTTAATTCTATATAATGGTGAAGTTTGTTGTTACATATTCATACATGCACATAACATAACACTATAATTTGGCCAACATCATTCCTAGTTACTAACTATTTTAACTTATACCCTGTCTTCTAACATCAGTTTAGGTTTTTTTTTTTTTCCTATCTCCTTGGCTGCCTCACGTTATTTTCAATGCTTCTTGCTGTGCCCATCTGGTTTAGTTTATGCTAAACTGGTACTTAGAAAACAGATAATAAATACCCTAGGAGCACCTTTTCCCTTCGCATCTCAGTACTAAATGTCCTGCAGTGAATCTTAAGGTTGCCCAGCGTAAGTCATCTGCCCAGGTGTCTGGATCCACACTTCTGCAATCTGTTTACAGTGTTTCCAGGTCATCTCATGCCAGATATTGGCTCTCTCAGCTCTGACAGAGTAGTGAGACTCCAATTTATTGTAAAAAAGAACAACCTGTGAGAGTTTCTAAAACTGCATATGTCTTAGTCCTAACCCGGACCTTCCCAGTCAAACCTTGGGGAGTCAGGGTGAACATTCTATTTCAGGTGATCCATAGAATACTCTACAAAACCACATTAGCCTTAGGAATAGTCCTAAATCATCTCACTGATTTTTAATATCYTTACTTAAAGCCCTTTCTCTCTTGAAAAAGGACATAGATTGGAAAGTACCTTATTCTTTTTGTTTTTTCTTATTTCTTTTTTTTTTGAAATAAAAGATGAGTTTCAATAGTTAAAGGAATTGCTTCTTGTATTATCTCTGTACTGTAGTTAATTAGAGAAACACCCCTTTCTTGTTAATTCAATGTCTCATGGTAGAGAAATTCTCTTGAAAGCAGTGTGCAATTTTTAGGTGGATGTCGAGGWGGGTGTTAGGGAGGAGAGGATGGCAATTATCAAACCAACTATAGTGGCAATTACAGCTTGCTTGGGAAGAGATCCTCAAATGAATGTAACTGTGTAGTCAGTGCAAGGATTCCTTACATATTCTAAAAGTTAGAGAGCTGATGAATAATAAATTGTTTTGTTATATGTTTAAGTGATGACAGTCCCTACGAGAAGGAGTAAAGATCCCTTAATATCTCTGTATCTCAGCTACTAAATAAAATGGATGCTGATTCTGGAGCCATTGTGAGTGGTAAATAACTAGATATAATCAGTCAACTTATATTTTTAGCAAATTCAGTCTGTTGTGTTTTCCAGCAAGCASAACTGGGAAATAGGTAATGCAATTTAATGAGAAGCAGGTGCAATTTCTACCAACAAACCTGGAAACCAGATGACAGCTTTAAAACTAGAAGCTTAGAAGTGTTTTTGCTGTTGCTATTGTTGTTTGCTTCCTCAACTCAAAGGATATAAGTTTGAAATAAACTCTTGAAGTGCTGGAACAGTGTAAAATAATGCTAGAGAGTCACCACACTACTTACAATGCCCATTCTGCAACTGGTTTCTTCTCTTCTCTTCTGACTTCATCTTAGCCTTTATGTACCACTGACACCTTTTAAAAAAGCAAACAGAAACTTATTTTTAAGAAATATGTGGGCTAAAAACCAAAAGTAATTAAAATAGATATTATTTATAGACAAAGTTTATGCTATAAAGACCACTTTTAAGAATATCTTTACAATATGAGCAAAATTACTTATCTTTATAATATGTACACATTGTGATATACATCAAGATTAGCCCAGATAAGTGAAGTCATTTGATCCAAAAGAGAGGACTCATGTTTTTATAATATGCATAACCATCATTTCTTTCTTGTATGAGTTTGTAAGAAGTTTTTAAAAGTCAAAATGAAAAAAAATGATTTTGTGTCAGAATTGCAGAAGTTTAGGCAGGCATCTTCCATTGTTCAATGTTAACCAATATGATGGTTTTCTTTCTTTAGTAATTGAAATCTGGTGGAAGAATATTCTGTTCTCTCACTGGATAACTTGGTTCCCATGACTTCTTCAATACAAATAAATTCACTAACATCTGTATGATCTAACAGTTCATCAAACTGCTCATTCCAGTTGGTTAAACTGAATATATCTCTGGTACACAATACAATCTTCCACTGTGAATTTTGCCTCAAATTATCTGCAAGCTGAGTCTGGATCAAAAATGTCTTAAAGATTTCATAGGATAATTTTCAGTGTGTGCTCCTTTACCAACCAGCATAAGAGATACTTCAAAATGATTTTTTTCTTATGTAATTCAAATTGTTCTCTCCAGTGTGCAGAATATTGAAGTGGCTTCTGATGTCATATAAATCAGCAAATGTAGAAACTGAAAGCTGAGAATAATTTGGTATAATTTTTCTTTATCATCAAGTTCTCTTTTTAAGTGTTATTCATTTTCTGCTCCAAATATCAAATAAAGGTAACATTTGAGTCCTTTTCTTAAGTTTATCAGGCAAAGTTATTTAACCTACAAAGATTGTAATACTTTATAATTATTATGTTTAAGTTTTAAGGCAATACTTTCTGATATCTTCATAAAATGCTTTTCCACATAYGTATGTATTATTCAAATCATTATTTACTGAATTATTTTATGGAAAATAATGCCTTAACCAATGTTCCACAAATCATATATAACTTGTAAATTACATCTAATTTTGCTATAGGTTGAATCACTGTTAAATAACATATCATGTAATATAATTTCCATGATGAATGGAGTTGTTTTTCCCTATTGGGGATAAATATGATACTGCTGTTAAATAAAATTATATTTTTATGAGAGTACCTCAAATTTCTTTGAAGGAACTTTCCAAATGGAAAATAAGTATCTTTATAAATCAAATTTMACCATTCTGTTTAAATCATCACTGTCTATCTAGTTAACATGGTATAATTTGTGTCTTTGGAGTTAAGATTTTTTAATGTGACCTTAGTTTACTTCAATAATTTAATAAGCTTTCTGGGCTCCAAAGCATATTGTCTGTAAACAGGGTGCAATTTCATGATAAATGGAAAATTTTCAAGAAATGCATGCCCTCAAATTAACAGAGATTGGGAAGAATTTATGAGACAGAGGGCATAGGATAATACAGTAAGGTTTATTATTCTAAACATTTCCATAATAAGGTTTGATAAACATGTAGTAATTTTTTGCAAGTTGGTGTTTTTAACTTAACCCAATTGTCATTTCGGCTTCCCATACAATAAAATGCTTTATTTATTTTGCTTTTCCAGTCTGGTACCTTTAATCTCACTGCAACTTTCTTTCATTTGTCTCCACCCCCAGCCATCATTATCTCCTGATCCCTCTCCTTGTGTCAGAGTCTTATGTAAAATTAAAAGAATTTCAGCATGTTTTTCAGTAAACAAACAAACAAACAAACAAACAAAAAAAAAACAGCCTCCACCAGTATATACACTTTTTATTCTTGGTTTCTATGATTGGTGGTTCCCTGAGGGTGGTTAAGGTTTTTCTAGGCTGTGTTTGCTTTAGGCTTGAATATTCTGTCTTCAACTCCAAAATTTGTTTTTCATTCATTATAAAAGAAAGGTTGTATCTAAGCTGTGCTGATGGCAAAGTGCTATCAGAGGTTAGCTTTCAGAATAAAGGGAGAGAGTTGAAGGGGGAACGCTGGCAACATGATGTGGCCACACTAGTATTTTTACTAGGATAAACTTATTCTTTCTTAAGTTCTGTAAAAGGAGGTTTGTTATGATGAAATCTTTGAAAGCAGTTGTATTAGGGACTCAAAATGATAAGAGTTGTCTAAGTACTTGTGCACTTATTTATCTATACCTTGAAGTCTGTTGTCAATATTGTAGGTGACTTTTTATTTATGCATATATCCTAGCTTAAAACTCAAAGGACTTGGTGGTATTTTCTTTCTTATTAGAGAAACCTATTTTATAATTGATTTCAATAATTGAGTACAATTGTTAAATGAATTTTAATAAAACATAGGTATCTCGGCAGAGTGTATTAAATTAGTAAAACAAAGATTGTTTATAAACAATCTGACAGTACTATTTATTATTCCTGGGTTTTTTTTCTGTTTTTTATCAGATACTATCAGAGACTAGGTTTGCTGATAGGGTTTGTACACTTTACCTAATGTTAGCATGGATGTACACTGTTTGGCTGGCCTTACTTCAGTTTTAAGTCACAGCATTGGTATTTTGCTGTACGTGTATGTAACAAATTACYCTAAAAACTCTTGAGGTATTTTGTGCCCCTACTGATATCTATATCAATTATTTCTCTTTATAGAAGTGATCTGAAGATATTTATGATTTCTGACAGAAGTCCTGGTTAAATATCAAGGGTTAATAAGATATAACACTTGCATTTTAAAATAATTTTCTACATACTCATTCTTCTTTCTGAATTGTCAATGTCTATATCACAGTAATAATCATCAATTATATTTAAAAATCAATAATCAATGCTTTTAGTGTATTAAATTATCATAGCAAACTTATATGAAAATACAAAGCTAAGATTCAGATGGGTGAAGGACTCTGACCACTAGTCAGGATTCAAATCTAGGTCTTTTGCTATTTTATAGTTATCATTACTTTACATTTTCATCCATCTTACCCTAAGGTAGAGAAATACCATAATTATAAATCCAATTAAAACTATTATACTAAGAACAGTTTTAATATCTAATTGATAGAAAGTCACACTTTTGTAATACTAAGTTTTTAAAGAGCTTTTATATGTATTGTTTGCTCTGCAAATGTTTTTTTCTAGAAAAATATCTTTTACGGTGTCATTTTATTTTAGAAAATGAAAAACTCAGAAGTAACTTGTAGAGTACAAATTCATCATTCACAGATTTCACACTTCTTTACCAAGTCATTGTGTGCTCTTGTGCTCAGAGGCTTGTTGACACCAAGGACTAATGATGGAAGCCATGTGCTGGGTAAAGCTCTCTATCCTCTGATCTGTCAGGATTGTTCTTTGGCTCAGCTGTGCATTGCTACACTTAAAAGCATTTAAATACACAGTGTATAAAACAGTGGATAATCAAAAATCTTGAAAATACATCTGTTTCCGTTACCTGCCAGTGATTAAGAAGAACAAAGTAAGGATGACCAGAAGGGTGAATCCCCCAACGGCGGCAGTAGCGATCACCAGAATTTGCCCTTGTTCTGCTGCCATGTCAGAAGCTGAAACACAGAAGGGTAATATTAAAATTTACCCAAATTTATGCTAAACATAGTACCTGTTTGAAAATATGGTAATGGATACCAAACAAGCCCAACATATTTTGCCTTTATTTCGGAATTCATATATAGGATGCTAACCCCAAATAAATGAGCTTTGTCTAAGGACTGAAGAGTTGAGGTCATCACCCACCACAATAGCACTTCTTCTTTCCTATAAAAAATATGAAAAAAAGTAGACTTATTCTTAGTACCCTACATTTTAAGATTAAATATGTGTTACAGAATTAAACAAAAYGGTTTTGTTTTATATAATTGCTTATTTTAATCTCCTTTAAAACCTTTAAGCCAGTACACAAGGCTTCRTGGACTGTTCCATTATCTGTTTCTACAAAGCAGCAAGACTGTTCTCTCATTCCTTTCAAGAATGATCTTCTAAAGGTAGCCTCTTCAACAAATGGTGCTGGGAAAACTGAAAATCCATATGTAGGAAAATGAAATGGAACTCCTGTCTTTCATCCTGMACAAAACTCAAAGTGTATCAAGGGCCTAGTAGACCCTGCACCCACTAGAAGAAAATGTAGGCCCAATTCTCCATCATGTTGGCTTAGGAACTGACTTTATCAACAAGACTCCTAATGCATAAGAAGTAAAATTAATATCAATAAATGGTATGGTATCAAACTAAAAAGCTTCTTCCTAGCAAAGGAAACAACTAAGAACGTGAACAGAATGGGAGAAAATCTTTGCCACCTCAGTTAAAGCATTAATCTCCAGGGTATAAAATAACTCAAAAAACTTAATTACCCCAAACCAAATAACCCAATCAATAAATGGGCTAAGAACTGAACAGACACTTCACAGACGAAGAAATATAAATGGTCAGCAAATATATAAAAAAAGTTCAACATCTCTAGCAACTAGAGAAATGCAAATTAAACTACACTGATATTCCATCTCACTCCAGTCAGAATGATAATTATAAAGAACAGAAGTAACAATAAATATTGGCAAGGATGTGGAGAAGCAAACTGGTACAACTACTCYGGAAAGCAGTATGGAGATTCCTCATAAAACTTGGAATGGAGCTACCATTTGACCCAGGTATTCCACTCCTCAGTATATACTCAAAGGACTTAAAATCAGCATACTATAGTGACACAGCCATACCATTGTTTATAGCAGTTCAAAGCACAGTAGGCAAGGTATGGAACCAATGTAGGTGGGCTTTAAGAGATGAATGGATAAAGAAAATGTGGTATATACATACAATGGAATATTACTCAGCAATAAAGAAGAATTAAATTATGGAATTTGCCAGTAAATGGATGAAAGTGGAGACTGCCATGCTAAGTGAAATAAGCCAATTCCAAAAAAACAAATTTCTCTGGAATGTAACCACCAATTTGACCCAGTTATTCCACTCCTCAATATATACCCAAATGACTTAAAATCAGCATACTACACATCATTGTTTATAGCAGCTCCATGCACAGTAGACAAGGTATGGAACCAGAAAGTTCTTTCTGATATGCTGATGCTAACACACAATAAGTGGGGGAGGGTTGGGGAAGAATAGAAATTCATTGGATTAGACAAAGGAGAATGAAGGAAAGTGGGGGATGGAATAKAAAAAACAGTAGAATGAATCCAATATAACTTTCCTATGTTCATATATAAATACATGGCCAGTATAATTCCACATCATGTACAACCATAAGAATGGGATCCTAATTAGAATAAGTTATACTCCATGTATATATGTATAATATATTAAAAATACACTCTACTTTCATGTATATATGAAAAGATAAATTGAAAAATAAAAAATAAGCTAACAATAAAAATTTAACACAACAAAAGAATGATCTTCTATATATTTCATAGAACTAAGTTCACACATTAAATTTTTAAGTTTCTACCTGCTCAGCACAAGGAAACACACACACACACTCTCTCTCTCTCTCTCTCTCACACACACACACACACACACACACACACATATATATATATTTAGATGTCTAGATATCTATATCTCTATTTATATCTACACATACATATTATGTATAACTAATAGGTGCATAAATGTTTGGCAAGAATTGGGAAAATTATATTTAAAATGTCATTTTTTTTTTGTTAAAAAAGGTCAGATAACATATAGAACAAAATGCTACTTTTTTCATTGACAAAACTTTTTTTTTTTCACGCTGCTGGAGATGAAACATAGGACCTTGTGCATGGTAGGGAAGAAAACTGTATCTTAATACTGCATGGAGTGCATATTTAACTAAACTTCCAACAATGTTTCAAAATATTAGTTCAATTTGTTTATTAATATTCCTCATTTTCTGTATTACTGAAACTTAATTCAAATACAATTTTTATGGGATGGGATGAGAAACAGCACAGAAAAAATGAAGAGCTTGCTCTCATAGGTCTATGACAAAATTCAGGTTTCCAGCTTCTTGTTTTAGTTCTTCTTCATATACTAAAATTCATAATAATAAATCAGTTATCAGTTTTCTATAATATTAAATAAATATCACCTTTTAATATTGCTTAAGCTAAATCTTGTTTTTATTTTGATTATTATAAATAAAAATATGTAAATCTCATAAGTCATAGAAAGTAAATTGAATTTAAAAATATATAATTACAAAGCAAACTGAACTGAGTATGGTAGTGCACACCTATAATCTCAGTAACTTAGGAGGCTGAGGCAGGAAGAACACAAGTTCAAGGTTAGCCTTGGAAACTTAGGGAGACCCTGCACAGCACAAGGAAATACACACACACACACAGACACACACACACAATAAAAATAAGAGTGTTTCTGAAAATAAGTAGATAAATAAATTTAAAAATACTAAATAATAAATAAAAAGGGATGTATCTCAGTGGTGGAGTACCCTGTGTTTTTCAGACACAAATGTGTGTGTGTTTATATATATATATATTTTTTTTTTTCAGAATATTACAATCTCATAAAATGATATACCTACTAGAGAAAATCTAAACCTTCAGTGCTATTGTTGACCCATTAAGGAAACAGTCCTGGTATTTAAGAGACTTTTAAAGAAATCCTAATGTAATAAAAACAAAATTTATATATGTTCCGTTTTCAGTAAGAAAAATATATTACACTTTGGAATTAGATTTTTGCCATCCCGATTTAATCAAGGTATTTTCAGGCAGTCTATTACAATGTTCAGTTTTTAGCTCATAATCTGTACCAAGACAAGTTAAATGTTGCACCTTATCCAAAACATAAGGTACTGAACCTTTTTTGTTTGGTCTTCACTGAATTTCCTAATCTTCAAAATAGCACTACTATCAGTGCCCCCAAATGTCACATTTCTCATTGAAAATTATAAAATAACAAATATTAAGAAGTTCTTGTTATAGAAAACAATATTAACTCATTGAAGATAAAGAATATAGCATTTTAAAAGAAAACGGTTTTTATGCAGCAACTGCTATGTTTACAAATTAATAATATTGTTCAAGAGTGTTGAACCYGAACCATATATTTTCACAGTAGTCAGACAGCTAGTAATTTATTGAAACCATATATCCAAAGTTCAGATGGGGAATAAGATTATGTAATTGGGTACCTTCTGAAAATCAGATTACTTTGCTATAGAAAATTGTGTTGATTTAAATAGTTTTACCAATATGTCTCCTTTTGCAAACTTCAACTATTTATTTATGAACATTTTAAATTAAATGTAATTGGATTACAGAATATTAAGTTGTGACACTTCAAAAAATGCATATTCTTGTATAATTGTTTCTTAAATTTCTATATTAGGAATCCTAAATAGTCCTCTATGGAGAGTAAAATATATAAGTAATCAAGTTATTTGAAAATAAGAGTGTTTAAGGAGGCACCCTGTTACAGTGGGAGCAAAATGTTACAGATGATGAGGTTGAGATTATTAGGAAAACACCACCAACATTCTCATCTTGATCAACAACAGTCACTATTTATTTTGACAGTCTTCTATGTTCCTAGCATAATTCATCAAGCTTCAGATTCACATGAAATTTATGTTCATAATCTTGATAGGTAGGTACTGTTATCATTCCTTCCGTAAGTAGTAATGTTACTTGTCTAACATTGCACCTATCATACACAGGAGAGCTAGCAATTCAACTATTATCTGCCTCTGAGTCCTTGCTATTAATGGTACTTGAAACCACCACTTTACAAAAAGGAGAAACCACTACAACTAGACCATTTGTTACATAAGCATAATTATAGCCTTGCTTGACTTTGTTTTGATGTTTATAATGTTAAGAATGTTGGATTAAGCATTCACAAATCTTTCAGACCAATTTTAAAAAAGTTATAAGTATAACAATAAATAAAATTTAAATATCACCATCTTTCAGACCAATTTTACTATATTGTGTGATCCACTAAGGCTATAATCAAATTTAGATTTGCTATATGGATATAAGAGAAATACCCAGGATCTATACTGAAACCCTTGGTCCTGACAGAGATAATTTCTGAGTTTTATTATATTAGTGTTGGTCTATCACAGAGTTCTGACTTCATCTCAGGATAAATTCCCAAACCCTCAACTTTTTACAAATGCCTCCAGTATATGTCTCCAGATTTATCATTCTCTAACCTTGCTGAATTTCTCCCAGTGTCTTGACTGAGCCCAACTTTCTCTGCTGGTCAATTCCTATGCAGTCCTCCTTCATGAACATCACATCATTTGGGAAGCTTTCTTTTTGGCCGTTTAGATTTGCTTAGACCCCTTCTCCCCAGATAGATGTACCTCTGGTCCGTTTAATGACTTATACCAATAACATGATCATATTTTATTAAATTCCCTATTTTTTTGTAAGCTTTTTTTCCTATTGGAAAGCAAATTCCATAAGGGCAGAGAATTGATTCACTATGGTATCTGTAGTGAGTTGAATGGTGACGCACCTTCCCTCTCCCCTCAAAAAGGGAATATATGAAGAAGTCTCAGTCACTCTGAATT